GCTTGCGGCCTCGCTGTTCGCAGGCTATTCGTAGAATCTTTTGGACATGTTCAACATCTACGTGCTTACGGGCTGTCTGCAAACTCGAAATTTCGTAAAAAGGACTTGCGTGGGAAGTGAGATTCTGCGCAAAATTTGGACGTAAACAGCCGTAAGAGCCGGTTGTGACCGAGGCTTTAAATAGGTTTAATTAATCACCATATATTGAACCTGATTAATTCACACCAATCACGAGACAGGAAAAACACATGATTTTGTAACAGCTGATCACAAAATCACTGAAGCGGAAATTTCAAACATCCGAGTTGTCAGCCTACTCTCTTATGACCAAACAAGTGCATTTGTACTCGTTTATATGGTGGGAATCGATTCTCGGTGAAAAAGTATAGGAAAGTTTTCTGATGCGTTTTCATTGACTGTCAGCATATGTATATGTATGAGGAATGTAACACCACCCCGCGCTTTCATCATTATTATTCATCAAACTACATATAAAGATAGATTGGTTAATTAATTAATGATAGAGCACTGAGATAAGCTACTTATACCGTTTGTTCAGTTTTATCTTTACCTTTGGTTAATTCTGTTCAATTACAGCGAACCGTTCATAAACAATATAATCTGATATACGAAATGAATACCATTGTTGTAATTTGATAACAAGGGCGACACTGAACAAACATCATCGTGGTATGTGTATAACATGACGTAAACACAAGAGGTTAAAATTATTTCAAGCTCTAAAAGTGTTATACTCCTAATGGTTTTTAGCAATATTTTCAGCTTTATTTATCTTTTCCATTAAAGATACATCAATTTTTTGTATTTATGAAATGCTTAACGTAATTAGTGGAACATTTCAGTAATTGTCACAAAATTTGTGATGGTTTATGAAAAATGATCCATTATTATTTTTTATGTCCCATATGATTATGGCAGTCCAAAAAGGCCATACCATACTAAACCATTGTTGAAGATGCAATGAACCTGTACTTAAATACTGTACTGTACTGTACTGCAAAATCCAAGATGGCCGCCCATAAATTCAAATGTCATATGTAAATACAAAAATTGATTTTAAAGTTACTTAACGAAATATTATTAAAATGTGCACTGATCACAAGTACTTAGGCCTTCTTCAATTATTCAGGCAATTTTCATTTTTCAAGATGGCGACTGAATCCAAGATGACTTCCAATTTCCTTTTTTTTTGTGTGAAAAATTCAAATTCCTAAATTTGAAATTTTTAATTAACCAAAAATTAGGAATATTTTTTATGTTTTAATGAAATTGAATTAGTTGAAGTCTTTATTTCCCATTTATACCCATTAGTTTATATTAAAATTGTATATTTAAACACAGATGGCTCTAATCCAAGATGGCCACAACATATTTTTTTATGTTTACGAGCCTTTCTTACTATAAACATCTCTGACTATTCAATGAAGGATTTATTGCACAAGTTATGGGATGAAATGTATGACTGAATAATTTAATTTATTTTGAGAATTTGTTCAGGGTTGAAAAATCCAAATTGGCCGTCAATTTTTGGATTCAAAACCTGCATTATTTTGATTTGCATGTTGGAAACATCAAAGTGAATGAAAAGCAAAATAAAAGCATATTTTGTAATAAATTTATCTGTATTGCAATGTCCTTCTGCTACTTAGGCATTTTATTTTGCCAAAATGGCAATTTTAGCTTCATTTATCATGATTCCAAGATGACCATGGATAAAAATTAACTGCAGGCTACCCGTGTGGACAATACCACATGCTGTGAGCCTTACTAAAATGCAGATTTATGTGCTTTTTTAACTTATTATTAAATAACTTTTTCCTTGAATTCTTGCAAAGCACATTTCGCAGATTTTTATATTCCAATATTCAAGATGGCTTCCATTACGTACATTAAATATGCTTATTTATCTGATCCATTACTGATAATATATAGGGAAATAAAATAAACATTTTAAAACCACTGTCACATATATTTTAATGTAGCATGTACCAACCAGGCCTTTCTTGCTACTTTGACCATTTATATTTCCTTAAATTCATCCTTTTTTATTAAATTGCCATAAATCAATGATGGCGACAAATGAGAAAAAACTCCACATTATAGTGAGCTGATTAAGAATGAAATTAAAGCTCTATATCTTTCTAGATTTTAAATTGAATCTCTTTTTCATGCAATAATCCATCTAGTTTTGTTTAATACAGTGGAAATTTTTGGAAGGCTACAGAATAGAATAAAGGTGATCCCTTCAACACCACTTCATAAGTTCCTTGAATGCATTATTATCCAACACTGTTCTGTTGAAAATGCTCTACCTAAAGAGATAAAAGATATTCTTGGAGATCCAAACATATGATATTTTTTGCAACTTCTTTGCTGGTCTCAGTTTATGATAGAGATTAGTTCCCTGCTTTATACATGTAGAACAAAGCTACAGATGCATGTCATCCATCCCTTTTTCTGATAAATTAAATATTTTCACTGTTTGGTTGCTTGAGTTTAGGATAGTTATGATTCTTCTTTATGATTTACACCTACATCATATCTCTAGTAAGTCCTTTTTTGACTGAGATCCTGGCTCTTCTGTCAAACTTGACAGGGAACTTTCAACAAGCAATGTACCAGTAACCCAAATCCATTTGGAATGTAACAATGGAAGTGCTAACATATGAAAAATAGATTTTATAGCCCTAAAAACATGAAAAAATGCATATAACAAACTATGGGTCATTTAATTGTAAATGATGTCACTCTTGTTAGGGTTTTTTGGCCATTTTGTCTGCACTATTGAAAATTGTCACCTTACCTACCAAAATGGTTGATGCTGAAAAAAATAGCTGTCCCTTGTGTGTTAAGCATCAATTTCTGTCAAAGATAACACCAGTTAATCAAAGCAGTTGAGATTCACTGAGCTCTCTTCAGAACAGGCATAAATACATGCATGTATAAAGTTACGACTCAGTAGTGTGTATTCATCCATGGTAACCTCAAATACATTTTTGTTGGTTGCAATATTGGATATTTTTGATGACTGAAGCTTAGGTAATTACCTTTTTGCAATATTAGATTCTATACTGTGAAAGGACAATGCAGTTTATCAAAATATATGTATTTATTATTTGCCTATTATTCAATTTGATGTTTTTCAACATGCAAATCAAATTGTAGTATGTCTCGAGAAATTGACGGCCATTTTGGATTTTTCAACCCTGAAAAAAGCCTCAAAACAATTTAAATTATTCATTCCATAACTTTGGCAATAAAGCACAGATACTGTATATGCATTTAAGTAAGGTTCACCACATGTGGTATACTGCATTTAAATTTAATTGATGCCCATCTTGGAATCATAATAAATGAAGAAAACATAACCACTTTTTGGCAGAGTAAAGAGTCTTAGTAGTAATAAAGATCAATGAAGCAAAAGAATATATATATATATATATTTTTTTAATTTGCTTATCATTCAATTTGATGTTTTTCAACATGCAAATCAAAATATTGCAGATTTTGAATTCAGAAATTGGCGGTCATTTTGAATCTTTCAACCCTGAACAAAGCCTCAAAACAATTAAAATTATTCATTCATACATTTCATCCCATAACTTGTGCAATAAATCCTTCATTGAGTAGTCTGAGATATTTTAAAGTAAAAATAGCTTGTTGACATGTTAAAAGAAAAAAGCCCATTTTGTGTGGTGGCCATCTTGGATTTGAGTCATCTGTGTTCAAATGAACAATTTTAAGATAAAGTAACTGGTATAAATTGAACATAAAGACTTCAACTAACTTAAATCCATCAAAACATGTTAAATGCTCCTTATTTATGATTAGTAAAAAAATCAAATTTTGATATTTGTATTTTTTCACAAAAGAAATAAAAAGGTTGCCATCTTGGATTCGGTCACCATCTTGAAATGCCTGAAAAATTGAAAAAGGCCTGAGTGCTTGTAATCAGTGGAAATTTTGATAATATTTAGTTGTTAAGTTACTTTAAAATCAATTATAGTATTTACATATGACATATGAATTTATTGGCGGCCACCTTGGTTTTTTTTTTTTCTTTATTCACAAAAGACAAACAAAAATACATATGCCAACACACACACACACACACACACGCACACAAGCACAAGACATTCACTATACATTAAGTAAACATCTTGGATTTTGCTTGTTTCCGGTACAGACGGTTACTTTTTCAAGACGGAGACAAGCAGAAATGAAAAATTCAGGTTCTTAACTAGAAGAATCAATCATAAACCCTTTGCCTGAAGGGGGTGCAGCAAAATCCTTAAATAAGGTCCTTTTCATTTTGGCTCATAAAAACGATATATGTAACTTTTAAAGACATTTAAATTATCTTATGCGGCCTGTTTTTATTTGAGAGTGTATTAAGACCTTCTTTTAGACCCCATTCCCATAGATTTTAGATCGATCTATCCCTGTGGGGAGTAAAAGACAAGATTTAAGTGCTGTTAATTATTGGTTGTTTATAAGACTCGGTACGCTGGCAATACGCACTATCGGTATCCTCTACCAGGGCCGCAGTTATTATTGTGGACATTTTTGGCTCAAGTGGCAGTGCTTGAGCAGTTATGCAGTTACGGGGCCCTGTACGTATTGTAAATTTGTGACCGTTGAACCAAAGAGTATTGTCTGCTGTTGCAGCTGAGATGTTTTGCCTTGTAAAATTTCCATACATGTACCTGGTAATTTTCCACACATTTGAGAGTATTGGATTCAATTTGACACAAAAAAAAACGGTTTTCTTTCCAAATGACAGATAGCACTAATTTTATCATCAACGTGTGCATTTATGAATGAAGCCTTTTTATGTAAACAGACGGTGAGAAAATTAAATGATCTATGATTGTTGGAAAAGATATTTTACAGAAACAAAAACCATTGCGCACTACTATTCATGTGTTGCTGTAGCAGTTATCTTTTTTATTTATTTTTTTTTTAACATTAAGGAGTCAATGGAGGATCTCAATGCTTTAGCCATTGTCGGATTAGGGTGTCGTTTTCCCGGCGCAGATAACTTAGACGAGTTTTGGAAAGTGTTGTGCAATGGCGAAAATCACGTGGTGGATATCCCCAAAGATCGTTGGGATAATGACCTGTACTATGATTCTGATCGGCTCTCGACCGGGAAGACATGCATCAAAAAGGCTGGAGTCATCAAAAAGTAACTTTACTTAATAAAAGAAGTGACTGAATTGCTATGCTTTTTGTGTCAGTAACACGTTGTCATAATTACATATATATGTGATCTAGCTAAATTTCTCAAATGAAATTAAATGATATTTCTGTAACATACATATTATATGAGTAAAATTGGTTCTATAAATATATATATATATATATATATATATAGTTTTTGTAAGTCTTTTATCCTCTTTTCCCCCAGTTATGAGTGGTTTGATAATGATATGTACGGCATAAATGATGAGGAAGCACAGCGCATGGACCCCCAGCAGAGATGGGTTCTGGACTGCTGCTATATGGCACTTGAAAATGCTGGGATTCCGCTTGAAACCGTCCGTGATAGCAACACAGGCGTATACATAGGTATAGTGTAACTGAATACATCAATATTTTCCATTCCCCCCGTTTTATTAACACCAAAAGTTGCTGTACGCCGAACTTTCCAATAACTTAAATTGTAACATTTTCTGATCATATGGCAATATAACAATGTTCAATTATGTAATCAAAATTTAAGTCAATTTTTTCAGTCAATATTTCGATGTTACAGTATATGTGGCAGCCGCTGGAGTAGTGAATGTGGTACCGCTGCAAAACGATCTTTTAACTTGTATTATGACCAAATGAAACTAACTGACCATTTTATATCTCCCCAAACTATTCAGGTAGCATGAACGATGGTTTCAAAGACATCATGCAAGATCTTGCAGCCATAAATGAGTACTCAGTGACCGGAGTGTCAAGTAGCATACTCTCAGCCAGGGTTTCGTATGTCTTTGGTCTTCGAGGTCCCTCTATGACCATAGACACTGCCTGTTCCTCGTCACTAGTTGCCATAAATGCGGCTTCAAATGCTTTACAAAACGGTAAGGATACGCAAGGATTTATACAAAGCATACAGGAGAAACCGTTTGTATACGCGCAATGTTGTACGACTGCACATAGCATGTGATGTAGGAATTGCTTTGAAATACTCCCCTACCAAAAATGTTTCACCCTAACGTAATGCATAAAGTGATACAGAAAATAATGTTATAAACCATAATGTTTTTATTCAACTCCTAAAGGAATGTTCTTCACAAAAAATTACTGATAGTAAAACCAATGAATAAACTAACCATAGTACATATCTTCATATCTTCTATCATATCTTCTCGGTTGGAGAACCCACCTGTTGCCTCCATGCGTGGAGTTAAAAGTTCTGTAACGTTTGCGAAGTGATGGCGTTCCACATACGGTGAAAAGATAGTATGAGGGCATTTTTGTTTGCAAGTTGAGTTTGACAATCGGCTTGATCGGACCATTTTCCCAAAATGTACGCTGTTTTTTTTTTTTTTTTTTTCTGGTTTTTTAAAGTATATTTTGAATAGTAAAAGCTAAATATCTCCCAAACCGAAGGAATCATGGGAAAGTTACTAAAGAGGTCGGACCAAAAGTCATGTGTGGTGATTTCAAATATGACCATAGATTTGACTTTTCATCTATATTTCAAGGTCAAATGGGACAAAATTTTGTAAAAATAATACTTTTCAGGTAAAAAATATTCGTTTGTGCTGATTTGCTTTGATATTACAATGTATGTTGAGAAGTTACACTTGAGGTCTTCTTTCATAATTACAATTAAAATGCCTTTATTAGAGACGTAATTAATCTATGCGATTTCATAATCTAAAAATATCTGTACCTGTGGATTTAAATCTTGCCAAATCTTAATAAACTCCCATTCCACTTGCTTTTATTTATTAATAATCACCTCATATCTGTAAACTGTTTTACACTATGCTTTTTATTCCAGATAATAGTTACATACCAAAATTATGGTACAGAAAAAATAAAATATCGGTGAAGATGCTTTTATAACATTTTATAACATTTTATAAGTGATTTAATAATATTTGTTTGAAGCTATATATGTGTCCCCTCAAATCTGATTTTCTATAAGGACTTCAACAAAGGTAAACAAATGTCCATTAAATTAAAAAGACACCAGCAAAAGACACCAAATTTACACACGTGTCTAATAGCGCGTGTGTTTACTGCGCACGAAAATTTTCTCACCTAGCGCTGCACGGTATGCCTCCAACAGCGTTATAGTTTTGTTTTGTGGGATATAGTCCCATTCTTCCTAAATACCATGAAGGAGTTGGTCCAGATTATAAGGGTGTTGTTTCTAATAATAATAATAATAATAATTTATTCAGTTTTTCAAGGCCTCCGGCCCATAGTACATAATAGTAATAATAAAAATAATAATAATAATAATAGTAAAGTCCATTAGAAGTATTAAGGATTATTCATTTTTGTCAGTGATCCAAATAAAAGCATTAAATATATAAGCAGCTAGACTAGAGATTAAATTTGTGTCTTTTGTGGTAATTTATCTTAAAGGTACATACGAACCGAGCATTGGTGGAATGTGTATTCCCAGTAACATATGTACACCACTTATACTAGTTTCTTATACGACTCAAATAAATTTGACATGCCAAGGGATAAACTGAATAGATCACTCAATCAGCCATAAAAGAGCTTTAGACTGCTCCTTTCTTTAAATGTTTGGTCGGAAATTTAACCTACTTTCGTGACCTACTTTTCTGGCCCATTGACATACAGCATAGAATGCTAGCAGAAAAATCCATTCAAACATCATTTTCGGGTAAATTAAACAATGCAATTTGGTAATTCTCTTAGTTATACTACTTGAAACTATATGCTAGCATTTGCTTGGTTTTTATGACAAAAAATTGACTTTGTATGCATCTTTAAAAAAAACTTTCTTTAGTAGGATTATTCACATGCAGATATTTTTTCTCTTAATTCTGTATATGCTACACATGCCATTAAAAATGGTATTCGTCTTCAACATCATAAACATTTTTTTTTTTTTGTTTCTTCTCTGCAGTGGAACATCGGATTTTAGAGGGAACACTCTATAAATCAAAATAAATGGTATAAAATATAGATACTTTTACCAGTATTTTGTATTTGTATACCATTTATAATGTTTCTGGAATAATAAACACGGTTTACAGCACTTTACACATGTGAGGTGATTATTTGTAAAAAAAGGCACATCAAATTGGAGATGAGACAACATATTTGATCAAAGGTATGCAAGTTTATGTTGTTGGCATATTTCACGTCGTATTCATTCATTTGAGATACGTCAACAGAAATTAATTTAAAAAGTCAATAAAACAGATTTCCTTTATATCGGCAATTATATATCCATATTTTTCCACTGACAGTAATATACATGTATGTATACAGCGACGACATAACCCAAATTTGAGCGTAGCATACCAATGCAAATAAAAACATTATCAGATTTCATGCACACATACACCTGCACAAATGATTAAAAAAAAAATAGCAAGCAACCGTATTATTCATGAACGATGTAAAAAGAAAATAAATAATTTTCAAATGCTTCTCGTTGTCACGGAAACGCGTTCGGTTTATGCCCCTATTTCACACAGACCAATAATCCCACGAATGGCCATGAATTGACAAATTTCAGGATTCGTGGTTGAATCGTAATCAGTGCGTGAAGTACTTAACAGATTCGTATATATTCGTAGTCAGTTCTTGCACTTCTTGACAAACAGGAATTAGGGACAAAAACTTTGATGCCCCTACTTCACACAGACCACGAATCCCACGAATCGCCAGGAATCGAAAATTTCAGTATCAGTATTCAGAATCGTAAACAGTTCGTGGAGTTCTTAACATATTCGTATATAATCGTCAGTTCTTTCTTTCGTAGTCAGTTCTTGCAATTCTTGATCAATCGGGAACTCGTGGCAAAAATTTTGAGCTGTTCAAAATTTCGGCCACGAACTCCCGCTTCCAAAAAATCGTAGTGACTTTCTGGACAATATTCGTGCGATTCCAGCCGAATCCCACGAATATTCGTAACACTATCGCACCTGTATCGTAACTGAATCGTAGAGCGTGTCGAATTAGAGCAGAAAATTGGCAAAATCTCACGACTCCAGCCGCATCCCACGAATATTCGTAACACTATCGCACCTGTATCGTAACTGAATCGTAGAACGTGTCGAATTAGACCAGAAAATTGGCAAAATCTCATGAATCCTCACGAATCCTGAAATTTGTCAATTCCTGGCGATTCGTGGGATTCGTGGTCTGTGTGAAATAGGGGCATAACTTGCATTCAGCGATGCGTGTTTACAATATCCGTGATGAAGGATGGTGTGAAACCGCGTTCGAGATTACGCGAGATTTAGGACTTACAGGCCATCAAGCGGCAGACCCCCAGAGCTGGTATACCCCATTAAAACTGGTTGTATATACATACTTTTCAGTTAAAACGTATTGATGTGGTGTATATTTAAATTAATAGGCAGCCGATTTACGCAAAATCAAAACTTAAGTAAGTAAGGAAGGAAAGTTCTGATTTTAATTAAAATTGTATGCCCATAGTAAACATAACCTTGTAGCATACCAAAGCATACGTGCAGAGGGTACGCACGTGACCCCACCCCGTAAACCCACACAGTTAAACCATAATCCATACCTTACAGGAGACTGCGACATGGTGGTGTGCGGGGGAGTTAGCTGCTTTTTAAATCCGTATGCTAATATTGCACTTAGCAAGTCAGGAATGGTGTCCCCGACAGGCCAATGTAAGGCTTTCACAGCCGAAGCTGACGGATATGCCCGCGGAGAGGGGTGTGGAATTGTAGTGTTAAAACGACTGAAAGACGTAAGTGAAATGTTCAGTTATGATAACTTATTCAATTTCAGTTTATTTCCTCAAGCAGCATTATTACAGTCATGTCTGGAACTGGATAAGGCATGTGGCCCCCCCCCCCCCCCCCACATACACACACACACACACGCACACGCACATTAAGGCTACAACTTTATCAAAAACTGATTTTTCTGGCTTTGCAATTATTTTTACGCCTGGTCTTTATGGATCTGTTTAAGTCTGAAGCTAGTTTAAGTCTGAAGAGCATACAACCAATCACGATCACTTGCTCTACCATAATAAGGTCTATACTCCCTGAGTCTTGCCAAGCAAACTTGTCAACTGTCTTATGAATATTATGTTTCGCTTCACTTGATTGTGTTTAACTTTTTGGTTTTATTCACCCAGGCTCTGGAGAACAATGACAATATTTGGGGCTTGGTGTCATCGGTCGTGAATCAAGACGGTTCCACCGCGCACCCGATGACCAGTCCTTCAAAAGACCAACAGATGGCACTTTTCAAAATGCTAAGAGACAAACAAGGCATTGACCCCGACGATATACAGTATGTCGAGGCTCATGGTAAGTCAGGTTCATTCATCCGTTATTTTCTCTTATCAAATGCGTTTGATGTTCTAAAAGTACAGAAAAAGATTTAGAAACAGCTGCTATATTTTTTTTATGAATGGCTACAACATCTCCAAGTCACGTAATATTTTGCTTCCTACTATCGAAATATTGGAGGTTAAAAATTATTTCAGTATGAAGCTGTTGACTGTAGAAAAAATTACTTTATACCTACTAACCTGGTAGTACGTCCAAAGGACACTTAGCCCAAGCATTTGTTTGGGACAAGTTTGATATCCTATCTAGGGCATCTTGCCCTTTTTGGTAATTTGTTTGTAAGTGTAAGATACATGTATAGGTACATGTACATGCCATACACAACTTCTGGCAAAAAAAGATTTTATTCCAGGGACCGGCACCCAGGTTGGAGATATGACAGAGGCTAATTCAATCGGCCAGTTTTTCGAACGAGGTAAGAGACAATTGCCCAGTATTACTATAGGCTCCGTGAAGACGAACATAGGTCACCTTGAATCAGCTGCTGGAGTGGCAGGGCTGATCAAAGTTCTTCTCATGATGAAACATGGTCTTTTTGTGCCCTCCTTACACTTTAAAGATGGCAAACCCAATCCAAAAATACCATTTGAAGACCTTGGCTTGAAAATTTCAACAGAAATGACATCATGGAATTGTCCAAATGACCAAAGACGAATGGCATTTGTTAACTCTTTTGGATTCGGAGGAACAAATGCTGCCGCATTCGTGAAGCAGTTTGAATTACCAAAAGCTCCAAGCACCCGTAGTGAATTAACTTTTGTTGCCAAGGACTCTGATTCATCCGTAAGCACCCCTCTAAACAAATTTGATGCCGAGATTCGCAAACAGAATGGATCTTCCTTAGCCATTGGATTGGGTGGTTCTGGTGCCCCTCTTCCCCATAAGGTGATTTGCTTCTCTGCTAACTCGGTGAATTCCCTAAGACGCTCTGCAAATGAAGTATTAGATGATATTGCCATCAAAAGTTTGACGGATCAAGATCTTGACAGGCTAATGTATACATCGACATGCAGGAGGACGCACCATCCTGTACGGCTTGCAATGGTCACTACCTCTGTTCAAAACCTTCAAGACAACCTCGCCTCGCGTCTAAAACACCAGTTTCATGCTGAGAGAAAAAAGGTGCGTGTCATTTACTTATTCTCTGGCGTTGCAACAACATGGAAGGGAATGTGTCACCAGTTGCTGATGTTCGACAATGTCTTCTTGGCAAAAATGTCAGAGATTGACAAGATTCTAACCCCCAAGACAGGTTGGTCTGTCTTAAATAAATTAGTTGAACAGAAAGATGTGTCTGATCCGGAAGTCGAACCAATAGTGATATTTGCTTGTCAGGTTTGTCTCGTCGCATTGTGGAGCCACTGGGGCATTGAACCGCATGCTGTTGTTGGTCAGTCTGTGGGTGAAGTGGCAGCTTTCTACTGCGCAGGTGTCATGTCCTTGGAAGAGGCAGCACATATAATTTGTACACGCACAAAATACGCGTCAAAGGCAGGAAAGGGCCACATGATGGTAGTAGAGAATTTTGCTACTGATAGACTTAGGTCTCTTTTACAAGATAGGTTAAATGGGGAAGTCGATATTGCAATTACCAATAGTCCCATGTCAAATACAGTGTCTGGTAGTCCTGCGTACATAAATTCACTGAAACAAATCCTCAGTGAACCAAATTATGCCGATGTGAATACCATCGACTTGCCCGTCCATATTGCCTATCATTCTCAACACATGGAAGCTGCTGGTCAGAATATTGAGCTTGAACTTAAGGATATGACACTGGGGTCCGCTCGCAAAGTCAAGCACAGGACGCAAAAGATTGCATTATACTCAACGGTGACGGGTAGATGTTTGAAAACAGAAGATCATGTCCCTAGTTCATACTGGAGAGAGAACGTCAGAGAACCTGTTTTGTTGAATGAGGCCATTGGAGCTGCGCTTCAGGAGGAGTGCACCAACGTTGTGTTGGAGATTGGTCCAAGACCAGTTTTTAGACGTTTCATTGATCAGTTTGAAAATGCTAATGGCGTGGTTGTGCTTCCATCTATGAAGAAGGGACTGAGCGCAGAGCCCCTTCTTCTTTCATTAGCTGAGATGTACGAAAGAGGGGTGAATCCAATGTGGAACAAAATTGTTTCTATTCCAGTGGCTCTAGGAGACAAGCCTAGACATCATTTTGACCCAAAACCAAATATCGTCCACATGCGTACTGCAAGGGAGCAGCAATATGGCATGCACCATTCGTCTCATCCGTACATGCAAAGAATGCCAGGTTCCAAGCCAGAATACGTGGTAACCATGAATAAAAGTTCAACCCCTTTTATTTATGACCATGTTATGGTAGGAGCAGGAATTGTGGTTCCTGGTGCATTTTATGCAGACGTGGCTCTCACTGCAGTATCCGAGATTTCAAACAGGCCTTCTGAATATTTCTTGGTTCAGATCAATTTTGTAGAGCCATTGTTTGTCAGCAGTGACAGTGAGATGGATGTTCATGTAGTGTTTGAGCTTAATGAGGCATGTGAAATTGGAAAAGATATCTATCATTTTGCAATCAAGGACGATAAGAAAACATATGCCGCAGGGGAAATTGTGAGGGAGGATGAGGTACAAAAAAGTTCTATACCAGATATCCGTGGCATTGAAAGCAGATGCACGATAAATGTGCCTGTTGACCAGATTTACGATGGGCTACACCACGCTGGGTTTGATTATGGACCGACAATGAAATTTATTACTAACTTTTTAGTGAACAAAGAAGAATGCATCTCAACACTTGCAATTCCACAGAGCATCATTGAAGATATGTACCGCACTTCAATCCATCCTTCAGTTCTAGATTCACTCTTGCAAACTGCAGGGGTTTTCTGCTCAGGCCCATTGCATGACCAAGGGCAAGATACCAAAATGATCCCAATCAGTCTTGGCAGCATAAGAGTGCTGCAAAAGCCCTCCCCTATCATGAAGGCTTACTGTCGAATTATGCATCACAGTTCTGGTAAAGCCCATTTCAACTGCTTCCTTTTGTCGATGAAAGGGGATATCATTGCAGAATTACGGAACTGTGTGATGAAATTGATCGGCAAGAACACACCAGAGAATTTCCTTGGTCATCTTACCTGGCACAGGGCAAAGCTAGATGTGCCTAAGACAAAACACCAAAGTAAAGGGCTGGTTTTGGTGGACAAGAATAGTGCAGTGCAGTGGAAGGAGGGTGGGATAGGTTTTCCAGAATGTAGCGGAGAAAGGGAACTCGGAGATTGGATGGAAAGAAACATTCCAAATTATTTGCAAGATCCAAATTACATCATATACGCTTGGGGAGCAAGAACAGCCAACGATGTCAAAATGGACACAAAGAAAATGTTTGAGGGATGTCATAGAGCATGCACAGGTTTGCGTCTTCTCATGAAGATTCTCATTGATATGCAAATTACAATCCCCGTCATCGTCCTTACAGTTTCATGCCAAAGCCTGAGTTTTCACGACTTTCAAGGATCACCTCATTTTACCCCATTTGGTGCCCAGCTTTGGGGAATGGTGAGATGCTTCTTAAAAGAGGAGACATATGAGAAAATAAGTCTTGTTGATCTCTATTCTGGGTCCCCTGAAGAGACAGAAACTCTCAGGTGCTACCTTGAAGATGCTGATTCCTTTGTAGCAAACCACCCAGAAATTGTGATTAAAGAAGAAAGTGTGTACAAACCATCTCCAACCAAGGCATCAACGGATCTCAACTATGCCAGATATCGAAAAAATGTGGCTGAAGAAGGATGTCCTGTGAGACTTGTCTCCAGTGATCCAAATGGTTACAGCGAACTGCGATTCCAGCACCAAGCCAGATGCAACAATAAGCTCATTGACCCAGGTGATGTTAAAGTAAACGTTCACCATGCATTCCTTAATCAGATCAAAGGTGCCCCTGCAACCAGCTCAGAAAGTGATAATCCTTGTCATCTTTGGTATATGTCCCCGTCAGTTGACCATGATGTCATTTCATACTCCTTGGTCGGCAAAGTTGCAGATACTAACGGGAAATCAGATCTTTCAAATGGTGATGAAGTTTTCATTTGTTGCCCTTCCCCAATTGAATCAGTTGTCCATGTGCCAATAGAATATGTGATTTCGTCCAGACTCATTCCATGGGATGTCGTCCCACTATTCCCTGTTGTTCACCTTGCCAAACAGATTCTAGTTGGGTGTATCAACAATGCATCACCTAAAAGTCAGCGCCTGATACTTGTACACAATGATGATACCTTGCCTTTGGTTCAGGTCTTGACAGACATGGCCCGTGTTGCAAATTTCGATTTAGAAAGTCTTTCCAGGCATGCCATACCCAAGAATAATGCACTCCAGTCATGTCAGACAGTTCTGGTTATGACTGAGATCACCCGGTCCGAAATTGTCCAGTTAGGGAAATTATTCAGCCAAGCACAATGCCTTCTTGTCTTTGAAGAATTTATTCAGGGCAACGAATTCATGGCTCTTCGAAGACATTTTCCAAATGCCAAAAAGAAGACTTTCTCAATCCGAGACGAGTTCTCACTGCATCAGTTAAAAGCAAAGGTACCAACGACGGTGGAGTGGCTGTCTGCTTTCAGTGCAGAACTTTCACTGAAATCTGAAGTGAAGCAATTTGTGCCAATGAATAAGATACCAAATGCACGTTTTGAATTTGGAAATAGCACTGTTGAAGATACAATCGTGGATGTCTGCATGGAAACCCAAGCAATTTACAGCATTTCAGTACCACCATCTGGAGATGTGTTTGCCTCCAAAAACAGACTGTTTCGTTCTGATTCTTGCTATGTGGTAATTGGCGGTCTGACAGGCCTAGGTCAGCTTATCACTAAGTGTTTAGCCAAACATAAAGTTGGTGTCATTGCTACAATATCTCGTTCTGCTCCAACTCCAGATCAGTTACGTGAGAGACGAGATCTTGAAATCAAACACCAAGTTCTGGTTATTCACGAGCAAGCTGATGTTTCCAATTACACTTCAGTTTCCAGTGCTTTTGAAAGACTTGCACAACGCAAAATCCCAATTAAAGGCATTTTTCATGGCGCTGCTGTTTTGGCCGATGGTGCCTTTGTAAATCAAAATCAAGACACATTTGAAAGAGCGACAGGTCCCAAAATAAAGGGTTCCTGGAACTTGCACAAGTTGTCCATCAACCTTCCTCTCGACTACTTTGTGATGCATTCCTCAGTCGCATCACTGCTGGGAAACCCTGGCCAGACAAACTACGGAGCCGGCAATGCATTCATGGATAGCCTTGCTCACTACAGAAGACAGCAGCATCTGCCTGCACAGTCCATCAACTGGGGTGCACTAAACTTGGGCCTACTAAATCAGAATCCAAATACGGGGCAAAGACTGAAAAATGAAGGTATAAATGCATTAAATGAAGATGACATATTGGAATGTTTCCTCCATGCACTTTTACGCAATGATGCACAGGCCATGTACGCAGACATCCCCTTCAAGACCAACAGCAAAAGTTTCCACTCAAATGATGACGCCGATTCAGCAGAGGTCACTCTGAATATAGAACAGATCAGAAATATGTCAAGTGAAGACAGAAAACAGTACATCAAACACTGGGTGATGCGAACGACGGGGAGAATTCTGATGGGCCCCTGTAAGATTGATGAAAACCAATCTTTGAATGACCTGGGCTTTGACTCTCTTAATATGATGTCATTTATCCGCAAAGTAAGGGACCAATTCCAAGTTTCCCTTATACCCGCAGTGCTCATGAGCAGTGATCAAAAACCAACTACATTTGCTGACCTCATAGAACAGTTGATTGGGGATGGAGTTCAGCAACATAGTCCACATTCTCCTAACAGGTCTATTCAAAAACCTGCCTTCACACACCGATGGAAATACAACAGTCAGGGAACAAAAGAAGATCTCGCAAACCACTTAATTGTGAAAATCAGGTTGCCAGAACAGGGATACGCTGCTGACATTGTGCTTTGGCAAAATATTACAAAGTTAGTGTCAGAAAATAATCCAGTCCTCAGGATGAGATACAGAAGAAATGCTGGGCTAGGAACAGACAAGATAGAGTTTCTTTCAGATGATACTCCGGAGGTGCAGCTCATAGACGGAACAGAAGATTCCATGGAACGAAGTATAGAGGAGATTATGAGACGTCCTTTCAACAGTTCCAACGAATCGCCTTGGCGTGTTGCCTTCGTAAACACCACACCGCCAATGGTGTTATTTGTGTTCCATCACATAGCGGTGGATGTTGATTCTATGAGGATAATGCTGCAGGATAATATCCTTCCTTATCTGCGTAGCGTCCATGCAGGCAATCCTTTGACAACACATTTCGGTAAAGTCAGCGCAATACCCAGCTTAGCTGATGCCATAGATCGCCATCTGACAGAAGAAGAAAAGACAAGATTAAAAGTATTTTGGGAAAACAATCTGCCGGAAGAAGTTCCTCTTGTGCGAGTCTCAAAAAAAGTGTTACCACAATGCACTTTTGGAAAGTCTGTTACTGTAACGGGGCAGATAGACGACGATATGATGATACATTTGTTAAGATGGCGTGGCAGCGAGGAATTCACACTTTTTCAGTTCATATGTAGCGTTTATCAACTTTTGCTTCATGCTGCATCAAACATTGAGCGATTTGTCATATCAGGAAGTGTCGACATGCGTGTTGCACTGGGATTGGAAGGGGTGATGACGAATTGCGTGAACATTCTCCCTATTCCTGTTCGCTTTGACAACCACTCTCAAACATTTCGAGAGTTCCTGAGAGTCAACAAGAGCACAATTCAGAAATGCTGTGTTGAAAATGCTCTCTGTCCTCCGGACTTAATTTATGATACAATGCCACAGGAACAAGTTGCGAACATTGGAAAGCACCTCATTAACTACCACAATGCCGTGGTTGAGGAAGACAATGCCCTATTTGGAGGAGCCGTCATAGAACATTATTTGTTAGATTTCTACAGGGAAACCAGACTTGAAGTCATCGAGTCCGATCATCCGAAGCGCATTGAACTTAAATTCCAGGGTTCTTGCGATCTGCTGGATGATGAGACAATCCACGTCCTCATGAGTCGACTCATGGCACTTGTGGGAGCTACAATTAGAAACCCCGATCATACTATAGAGACCCTAATAGAGAAAGCGACAGCATAACATTTGCCATATGCTCATTATAATGCTAGCACACAAAAGATGTAAGCAGTTTATCATAGGTTTTTCAAATGATTCAGTTGGCTTGTTTCACAGACCCTTTTTTAGAGTACAGAAATTCTTGTGAATATTTTACATTCTGAAATGGACAAACGAAGTTCATCTTATATTTGGGCACCAACGACAGCCTGGCACACAAACCAAACATGCTGCTGTATGAAGCAATTTATTTTCTACAGGGCGAATAGGCTTAACTAAGTATTATTTTAAACATTCAACAGATAGCATGAATGGCATATGTCGGCTGTGTCCATAAGATAAAACTCCTTCATTGTAATTTTTTATATGATTTATCCCCGAATTAAAATTATATACATTTTTCTAATTACTGTAATTGTAAACGGTAGAGTGTACTTAGAGTACTGTGCATGGTCGTTAGATAGGTATCTACATGTATTATAGCGGACTTTAAGTTCGGCGTTGCAACTGAACTTGTTCAAACATTTCAATTGAGATAATTAATTGTTACTTATAATTGGATATTAGACCGACAAAGAGGCGGCACTTCTTTCAGGAAGAAGGTTACTTGAATTGTGTCACTGTATATACTTTATAGTAATATGGTACAGTGCACTCTCTATTTTTGGAGTATGCTCAACATGTCTTAGATAATTAGTACATTATATATTACAGCTTTATATGTTTTCATGGCTATATTTGAGCCATTTTGTTCTGTACTTTTGTACCGGTGTAACGTGACAGAGAGTCCCTCATAACAGAGAGTCTGCTTCCCATTCATTTGTACAGGTGAGCCTCGCCCTAAATTTTGACCCACTTAGTTCAGGCTAACCCTAACCATTATAACTATATGGAGGGCGGACTCTCTGTTACACGGACCCTTCGTTTTGTTACTCCTAATCTAGTGATCTTTATTATTTCACATGACACACATGTTGTGGGTCATTTGGCTTTCTGGATAAAAAGGATTATAAAGCGATTTTTGAGCCAAAATAATGCACGTAAAGAAACCAAATTTGCTTGTTGACCCATGTGGCAGACTAGCCGTAGCCAGGTGCTAATTGAGAGAAATCAAAGGAGATGAGACTACAGAACAGGTGAATCAGCAAGCCAAGTTTTCTTCCACGGGTGAGACATTCGCACAAGATCAATTAAACGAAATTTATTAATATGAATTTATTTATATGAGTTGTTTGTAAAGAGTTCAATTTGTCCTTAATTGAATTATGATTAATGATAAAATATCACGCTATGTGATGCTTTTAGCTTCTTTTAAGTATGATGTTTAGCTCTACATGTTACTGAGAGTAAGGGACCGTTCACATGAAAAATCTATTTTCTAAAAATCTATTTGCGGTATCTTGTGATCACGGTCTATGGCCCTGAATAACCCGCGACGTAATTACTGGCAGCGCCGAGAATTAATTACAGCTTTGGAAGTAACTGGCTCGCTCTGCCCGTAATTACCCCGTGGGGTGTTCAGGGCACTGACCGTGATCGGAAGATACCGCAAATAGATTTTTAGAAAATAGATTTTTCATATGAACGCAGCCTAGGCGAGAGGGAGAGAGGGAGAGAAAGAGAGAGATAGTTAACGAAACTCATGTCGGTCAATTTTTTATTACAGAACCATTTGCACGGGTTATTTAGTTCCTGGCTTCAATCAGCTTTGCATGGCTAAACACAATCCATGGAAGATATAGACTTGGAAAGGTACTTGTGACAAAAACTAACAAGTTCTACTTCTATTCAAACCAATTATTAGAGTACAGTTGTGCCATCGAAATAACTTGTTCAGCGTTTATAAAATAGAGCCAGCATTAAAAAACGCGTTATGCCACTTATAAAATGTGATTACTGTATAACTTTCGATTGCGTCGTTTATTTCAGTGTGCCGGAGGAAGGTAGTGACAATGAAAAGCCATATCATTGTGAAACTGAACATTGGAATAGGCATATTTCATTTGTTTAAAAATCTTTTCATTGGTATTTTTGCAGGGATAAGCTGTGGTTTTCATTTTACATGATCTTAATTGTACATATTTAAAAGTAATGTTTAGTTGGACCAAGTAATGTGTAAGATGTCAATGTGTATAGAACAGTTTCGACATTTGAAAAGACGCTGATATCTTTTAAAATATTTTCACTGTCCTAGAGACAAAATTACTGTATGGAATAATTTGTTATAGACATATTTTTAACTTAAAATTTATCTCATTTTCATTTTCATTGTTTCTTTAAGATAAATCAGGATTGGTTTTACAGTATGGTTTTTTTCTATTCTTGTCCTAAATGCTTAGGTTTATTCAATTTGGTATTGTATACAGCCTTTCCTATTTTTCAAATAGAATTTTTTTGTTATTGAAGATAAAGTTGCTCCATTTTTCAAAATTGAAAAAAAATGTGCAATATGTACCTTTAATTACACTTGATGGAATATTTGGTGGATTATTTCTAATATATGCAAACATTTTTGAAGTGATTTGATGTCTAAAAGCTCGAGTTAATTCAGTTTGGTATTACAGTCCTTTCATCTTATTTGTTATTATTTATAATTATAATTGGTATAATTATTGTTATTAATTATTATTATTCTACAGACTTGACATTTAATATTGAATATTTTTTTCGAAATCATTTTACATTAGTTTTTTCCTATTTTGCTGACTGATCAATGAAAATAAGGATTAAAATCGTGTTTTAATAACTTTTAATTATCTCTTTGATGTCATTGTGACACCATTTCATTAATTGAATTCGCCAGTGAAGCAAACAAAAATACACTGCTTATTCAATGTCATACGACACCCATTAAAAACGATATTTTGGATCTCCATATTTTCCTAATTATCGTCTGTAAAAGAGTTACACGCCCCACAAAGGCACCTCATGTCAGTGTCTTGTCATGGTAACGGTCGCTGTTATGCCTGACCTCTTCTGGCTGCTACCAGGGCTCTAAAGCGGCAAGACATTACTTGGGATAGGTTTTTTAGAGTTCAATCTGGAATAACATACCAGGCATCGGTCAAATTTGTCCAATTTGGTCCAGTTTTGTTGTAGGACATGTAGGCCATTGATTTGGTGAGTAATGGCCTACCCACATATTGCCTGTGTGTTTCAAATATGGCGATTTTGATGACGAAGGTAGCTGCTCAATTCCCTGGTTCTGTAAGTTATCTGCTATTAAAAGTGCTCTGGCAAACTCACCATGGAACCCAAAAATTGTTGGTTCCCAGATTATTCCTTTTTTTGATCTGGTTCAGGTTTTTTATCGATGTTTTGGTACCAATGTGGTGTCCACTCCAAATACTGACGCTGCCAATGACCCTAGCCACTTTAGACGCGGCAGACGCTTCGCCGTAGACCTCTTCTGGATGTCTATAAATCTGTTTCGACTAGTTGAGCGGTACAGGTGAAATCTGACCTCAATAAAGAAAGCCACGCGGTTTCAATGTTTTACCCAGAAACGGTAATGGTCCCCAATTCATTAGAAAAACAGACGACGATGTTTTGCTGTTTACTGTTGATTCCTCGGAGGTCGTCTGGTATTCTAACATGCTAAGACCAGTTTGGTATTCGCTACGGCCCTTAAAAGCGCGTTTTGGTGGCATTTTACCCCTCATTCTGAACGGACTGGGTGGTTTTTGTTTAGTTGCAGCAGCATATCCCGAAAGACAGCGAGTCCTTTACCCTGGTGGTAAGATTTCGATACATTGGGCGAGACCTCAGTCTAGGTACGTTCCGTTTGGCGCAATAAACTGTCTGGCAATGTCTGTCTTTTTCGCGCCATTCTGCCACAGATTAACAATTCTGTAATACACTGCTTGGCTCATTTTACGAGCTGCAAAAACAACTACTTGTATGCAAAATTTTAAATTCTTCTATGTCAAAAAAGTATCCATATATCGGCAACTAATGAGTTGCCGATATATGGATACTTTTTGACAGAACCATGCTTTGCCAAATCCAAGCTTTGACCAGCCCAAAGGAGCACTACCCAATTAAACCACTGCATATTACACAATGCAGCAGCGCAACAGGCATGGTAGTCAGTTAATTGGTAGCGACATACCTGACTACACACTTCTCCATTCACGTTTCTTATATGAGATCGGAGTTTTTTAAAAAAAAAACGCATTTTTACCTAGGCATACCTTCAAAACTAAAATATTCCATATTTAATGTGAAGTCTGTACAAACAGAATTTCTGTTGAAGTAAAAATTACTAAATGTTTAAAATTTTCTTTATAGAAAAATTATATAACTATCCATTGACAGTATAGATATACATGTAGATCACTGAATCTGTGCTCAAATTTAAAATCTCTGTGTTACGTACACTTTCTATCAGATCTAGTGCAATTATGTATTTAACAAAATGTAAAATTTAACATATAGTAAAAAGGTGGTCATTTCATATTAAACAAAATGTAAAATTTAACATATAGTAAAAAGGTGGTCATTTCATATACCACAAACAGGTTCATTTGGCTTCAGGGGTCTAAAAATGTACATGGCGATTTTTTTGTTTCAGAATGAAGCTGCTCTGTAATTGGCCCGTATTTAATTGTATATGGACTTACACCAGTCCTGCTTAATTAAAATTATGTTAATTAAAAAAATAAAATCGATATTGTTTGATTAACCATCTTTCATGTTGTTAAAATAACTTAGTAGCCAATACAATAGACTATAAGTGGATAATTACTTCTCATTTCTTTTATTTTGAACACATTAATGTTACGGTTATTTGTCCTTCGGTTGCCCACTAGGAGAGGGTCAGAGTAGGCGCAGTCTCCTCCCATACTTTCTGATGATACGAAATCAAGCTGTAGTATCTCCATAATTATGCCCTATATATTACAGTTAAAATTGGCCTAATCTACTGATTCAATTCCTCGAGCTAAAAGAGAAAATTGTTGTGACAGTCATGTTTTGAACTACTGCCCACTCAGTTACCAATGTGGAAGAATTGTACAACTGCATCTTCAAATTCATCACCTAAAGACACAAAGGAACTTTAACCTGCATCTGTCCAAATTTCCCAAATATGGCGACCCACTACAAAGCTTGCCGTCTAATCCGCTAATGGACACTGAATAGGTATCTCGTGGAGAATTATTCAAGTTGGTCGGCAATATTTGACCTTTGGGCTATTGACATATTTGACCCCTATTCTGAATGGGGCCATTGACAAATTATTTTCCACTGCCGTTGTTCCTGGCAACGTGAGGCGTATTTCCATTTCCATTTCCTGAGACTCAGAACGGCCAACAAGGAAGAGTTATACATATTGCAAGTTTATATATATATATATATAAACTTGCAATATGTATAATTATATATATATATATATATATATATATATATATATATATATATATATATATATAGTAGCAAAACATCGCAATTGGTATCAAATTAATGAACTCGCATTTTTATTACATGACTCATCCTGTTCCTATTTGATACTCTCAAGCTAATAAACTGACCCTTAGTATAGCTCTTAGTTTCCAAATAATGCGACAGAAAACAATATCACTAACTGTTGTCAACAATTTTCGATACAGATATACATAGAGATTTTTTCAGTTAATGATCATAAATTAGAAAACGATGTTTATATAGACAGTTTGTATTTCAGCAGAGAATTTCAACCATTAACAAAAGAGGACAGAATTCAGCCACCGCCTGATTTACTCGGACCCTCCTTCAACAGCCGCCATCCCCAGTGTAAATCGATTCAATAGATAATTGATTCAATAGACAACGTCATTATCAACAACAACAAAAAAAAAATTTTTGAAAAAAACCAATCAATTTTTTTTCTTTTGCAACCGATTAATTTACCTTCTTCTCCAGGTGCTCTCCGTTTGATGTATTCGTAGCTGTGTTGTGCACACAGCTACGATAGATGTGAAATGATTATCATTTTGAAAAAGAAACCCTGAGATTGATTTATTTTATTATTCTAAATCTTGAAACTATCGTTACTTACTGACGTAATAATCAGAATAGCCTTGTATAGTTACCGTTTTGCGATAATCTATGGCGTCATAATGCAACGTCATGACAAGAACCAAAACCGGGATCCTCAGACTTTCAGGTTGCTACATTACTACGTTTCGCCCCTGGTCGACGATTTTTTCTTTTATTTACGTTATAATATTAATCACAGTATTTTATTGTGACGAAACATTTCAACATCGCAGGACAACAAACAATGAAAACAAGACTGCATGCAATTTGATAACGTATGTATCGGTAACGTATGTATCCTATAAACCAACCATTTGAAGACTACTTTTTGTCCCCTTTCTCTTTTATTGTAACGTAATATACAGTAAGAATTAGATGTTGGCTCATCAGATGTTGTCAGCAGTTGAAAGTGATTAAAATATAGGTAACGTATGTATCGAATTAAATCAAACTCCGTATTTCTGTGAGTTGTTCATATGATAATTAAAGAAACAATCATAAGTTAGAAATAATTCACAGTTTATTTACCCTGGTTTTCAGGGCTAAATTATGACCATTTTCACTCTTAAGAGTCCGTTTTTGGCAGTGTTACGTCAAGTTTTAAGAAGCAGTAACATTTACCCTGGTTTTCAGAGCTAAATTATGACCATTTTCACTCTTAAGAGTCCGTTTTTGGCAGTGTTACGTCAAGTTTTAAGAAGCAGTAACATATGTATCCTTGCACTGTAATTTATCATGAAATGAAATTTTAAAAAGGAACATTTTTGTGGAGATGCCATTGTATAATATTCACCTAATAGGCTTAACTCGACCGGTTGTAGAAGATATTAGGTGTAATCTCAGGTTTTACTGCATTCTTTCGTCTCGGCGAAGGTAACGCAAGTATCGATTAAGAAGTTTTACTGACATTTTTTCAAACGTTCACAGATCTCTGTATATCGTTAATGTTTCAAGCGCACAATTGAATTTGTCATGTAACCTTAAGAAAAACGTATTTATTTTGTTTATATTTATATTCGAACATGGCTTATCGACCGGCAGCATCATAATGATAAAGGCTGTAAAATAGAAGCATTGTTTAATAATAATAAAAACATACACTTAATAAATGGAATCCATGCATCATCTTTAATGTAAAGTTACTGAAGTGGCGTTTGATGCACACTTTTAAGGGGTTGAATACTAGTACGAAAATCTATTAAAAGTTTTTTATCGCGTT